TGTTCAGGGACAGTTCACACTGATCTTTCTCATCCCCAGGCTCTGTCGGAATCTGATTCGAGGGAGAACTGTCAATCCACTCATGTGTACTCTCAGTAACAACCAGTCATTGACTCACTTGAACCTGAATAATAACAAGCTCGAAGACCAGGGAATTGGACTGTTGATTGCTGCACTGGGACAGCAGAGCTGTACGCTCCAGACACTGGAGTAAGTAATATCCTGTGTATGAGCCTGCATGTAAATGTGGGATCTCTCTAACACCCAACATCCCTTTCTTTCTCTGTTTACACATTGGTTGCTTTTATGTCTTAATCACTTATGGGATGTAGATGTCCCTGGTGGGGACAGTATTTATTGCTCATCCCTAGTTGCCCTCCAGAAGGTGGTGGTGAACTGCCTTTTTGAACTACAGCAGTCCAGTTTGTTTAGATAGACCCAGAGTGCTGTTATGGGGTGGAGTTCCAAGCTTTTGCCCCAGCAACAGTGAAGGAACGGTGATCTATTTCCAAGTCAGGATAGTGAGGGGGTTGGAGGGGAATTTGTAGATGGTGGCATTCCCATGTATCTGCTCCCCTTGTCCTGTTTGGCTGTAAACATCCCAAGTTTGGAAGTTGTTGACAAATCACTTTCCTGACTTGTGTCTTTTCGATGATGGTTAGGCTTAGGAGAGTCAGGAGGTGACGTAGGTGACACAGTACTCCCAGCGTACATTCCTTCTCATTACTCCAGCAGATGCGCTGACCTCCAAGGTCCATGTGCAGCAGTAGCTGGAGAAACTGGAGGTGGATGTGTCAGCACACCAATCTGTGTGAGTGGACCCTTGGAGTGGTGGCAGCACAACTTAGAGTCATGGAATCACAGATCTGTCATCATGGCCATACCCACCCTACAAGCAGACATCCAGCCAGACCTTACTATCCAGCTCTTGGTTTATAATTTTCTAGGTTGTGACATTTCTAGTGTACTTCCTTTTTAAAGGTTGTCAGGATTTCTACCTCTACCAAATTTTCAGGCTACAAGTTCCAAATGAAAAAGTGTCCCCTAAAATACTCTGAACGTTTTGGTTCTTACTCAAATCTGATTTAAGATAATGTCTTTGGTCAATTCATGTATTGTTAGCAACAACCTCAATAATAACAAATACACAGATAGGGACTTGAACTGTTGACTGTGGCACCAAGTTAGTCAGGCTGTCTGATCCAAACACTAGAATTAGTAACAGAATGGGTCAGAGTGCAGGTAGGCAAAATAGTGTAAGAATGCACAATATTCTACTGTTTTTAATTCTGACACCATTTTACTGTCATCTCACTTTCATTGTTACCATCCTCATATAGCTCTTGTGTACATAGCTTGCTCGCCTGTTACTGTATCTGATTCTTTCCAATCCATGCAGATTGGAGGGCAATGGGATTACAAACACGTTTACAGATGAACTCACTGGGGCTCCCATCAGAAACATGTCACTGAAAAGGGTGAACCTGTCCAACAATTTGTTCACAGACCGGTCTGTTACAGCTCTTTTGTACCTGACCCAGACACACACTTCCCTCCAGGAGATCAGGTGAGTAGAGACAAAAAAAAACTGCAGCTGCTGGAATCTAAGGTAGACAAACAGGAGGCTGGAAGAACACAGTAGGCCAGGCCAGGAGGAAAGGAGCAGTCAATGTTTCGGGTATAACCCTTCTTCAGTCCTTTCCTCCAGATGCTGCCTGGCCTGCTGTGGTTCTTCCAGCCTCCTGTTTGTCTACATCAGGTGAGTATATCTGTTTTTAAGGCTGTAAATGTGTTTAATGTTTACCTTTCTTCCTTTATTCTGATCAAAACAAGTAGTTTTATTGCACCCCAGTAAATCACCCCAAAAAACACAGCAGGATCCCTCAAAGAATAAGATAAATGTTGCGTTGATCTTTTTCCAATTCTTTTGAGTGAAAGAGCGGTTTTGTGAGAAGTCCCTTCTTTTTGAGTAGAGCTGTAGGCCCTTTGACTTCCTTGAACAGGAAGATGTGGTAATTGCTTAATTTGCATTTAAAAGGTGGACTTCTCTGAAAAAACACCATTCCCTCTTTTCTGATGAAGGGTCTAGGCCCGAAACGTCAGCCTCTCTGCTCCTATGATGCTGCTTGGCCTGCTGTGTTCATCCAGCCCTGCACCTTGTTGTCTCGGATTCTCCAGCATCTGCAGTTCCTACTATCTCCCTCTATCCTAGATTTTTTCCCAATCAACCTGTTCACAGATGTCATTACACACCTCTGGAGCAGGTTGGATTTGAACCCAGATCTCCTGGCTCAGGGGCACTACCACAGCATTCTGTACTAAACAGATTACCAACCTATATTCTGTGCTCAGATCCTGCTGTAGGGCTCCAGCTAAAAAACTGAATAAGAAAAACTCAAAAAGATTCAAGGATCAACATGCTTCACCCTTTCTGAGAAATTTTAATCCAACCTCCAAGAATATCTACAAGTCTTTCTTTGGAAACTCACTTTGAACCAAGTTATCATCTCCTCCTTTTCAGTGTCCTTCCCCCCATTAGTGCATTACTTCACCAAAGGTCTGAATACAGGTTTAATCTGTGTATGTAACTGTGTGAACACAATACAATCCACTCAATCTCTTCATCTATTCCTTATGGGCTAGGTACCCATAGCTTCAGTAAATTCTACCATTCTGCTGTCTGGACACAGTTCAGAAGCCTAGACTGGACCAGTGTGCCCTCAGCCCTGGATTTACTGATTATTCGTAAAAGAAAGAATTCCCCCACTACCTACCTCTTTGTATGTGTCCTGTTGGGATGATTAATCAGTGTTGGGTGTTTACTACTGTGTTTCAGGCTGCAGAGGAATAAGTTCAGTCCACATGGATTGAGCTGTCTTCAGTCACCGAACAGACCGGGACTCTGTGTGGAAGTGTATACATCAATAACCAGTGGAAGATTTAAAAGCTGATTACAAACTAACAATAAACATTAATCAGCTGATGACAGAAATGAAACTCAAAGAACCAAAAACAAAAATTCGCTTTGTACTTGTACTGTAAGATATCTTGTCTTTTCATCATTGGATTATGGACTGAAAATGAGGAAAATATTACTTTCTGGGGACACCACATTCAGAAAATCTGGCACAATTTGTTGTGATATGTCAGTCAGAAGAAGAAACTGATAATTCTTTCTACTATAATGAAATCTCAACCTTTGCGGTGACTCCAAGAATACTGGTGCTTGAGTTCCATTGCATTACCCCAGTGAGTCGTAACATTTTAGCTGCATTTAGATATTCATTTGTGCTTCCAAAGCTACAAGCTAAGAGACAGAAGATGGTATTCTTGTTGTCAGATCTTTGTGGACCGCTATGGACACAATGGGCCGAATGGCCGCCTTCTATGCTGAATCCATATTTCAGGGACAAGAAATTTCTGCCGAATAGTGAACCTCTAATATTGGGATGTTGGTCATCTGACATTTGGAGATTTGTTCAGCCTTCCAGGCTTGGAAAGAGAAATTGATCTGTGTTTTACTGACAGCTATTACAAGTAAACTGGTTCTGAACTTTTGGCTGCTTCATGAATGTACAGCCAGTCACATTGAAGAAAAAGCAGAAATATAAGTTCGGCTCGATCATAGAGAATGACTCAGTCTAGGTGAGTGAGGAATGAGGGAGGGCTTGTGTTAGGGAACCTGGTTCAGAGGAGAGGTGTTAAAATTGAATCAGAGATAGTAGGAACTGCAGATGCTGGAGAATCCGAGACAACAAGGTGCAGGGCTGGATGAACACAGCAGGCCAAGCAGCATCATAGGAGCAGAAAGGCTGATGTTTCGGGCCTAGACCCTTCATCAGAAAAGGGGGAGGGGAAAGGGGTTCTGAAATAAATAGGGAGAGAATGGGAGGCGGATAGAAGATGGATAGAGGAGAGGATAGGTGGAGAGGAAACAAACAGGTCGAAGAGGCGGGGATGGGGCCAGTAAAGGTGAGTGTAGGTGGGGAGTTAGGAAGGGGATAGGTCAGTCCAGGGAGGACGGACAGGTCAAGGGGACGGGATGAGGTTGGTCGGTAGGAGATGGAGGTGATGCTTGAGGTGGGAGGAGGGGATAGGTGGGAGGAAGAACGGGTTAGGGAGGCAGGGACGAGCTGGACTGGTTTTGGGATGCGGTAGGGGGAGGGGAGATTTTGAAACTTGTGAAATCCACATTGATACCATTGGGCTGCAGGGTTCCCAAGTGGAATATGAGTTGCTGTTCCTGCAACCTTCGTGTGGCATCGTTGTGGCACTGCAGGAGGCCCAGGATGGACTTTCACAAGCTTCAAAATCTCCCCTCCCCCTACCGCATCCCAAAACCAGTCCAGCTCGTCCCCGCCTCCCTAACCTGTTCTTCCTCCCACCTCAAGCCGCACCCCCATCTCCTACCGACTAACCTCATCCCGCCCCCTTGACCTGTCCGTCCTCCCTGGACTGACCTATCCCCTCCCTAACTCCCCACCTACACTCACCTTTACTGGCCCCATCCCCGCCTCTTCGACCTGTTTGTTTCCTCTCCACCTATCCTCTCCTCTATCCATCTTCTATCCACCTCCCACTCTCTCCCTATTTATTTCAGAACCCCCTTCCCCTCCCCCTCCCCCTCCCCCTTTTCTGATGAAGGGTCTAGGCCCGAAACGTCAGCCTTTCTACTCCTTTGATGCTGTTTGGCCTGCTGTGTTCATCCAGCCCTGCACCTCGTTGTCTCAGAGGAGAGGTGTGTTTGTTTGCGTCTAGTAGGGAAAGGAAGTCAATTGTAATGCGTAAGGGGGTTAGATTGCGAGGAGTTTGTAAGTCTTTTGTCACGGTTTTGAATAAATAAAAATTGGATGAATCCTACAGGTTATATATATATTTTTACAAAGAACTTGAAAATTTGACTTTTGTATTTATATGAATTGGTACTGCAGGTAGATCTGTAAACATGTAAAAACAAATACCCAATGTTGACAATGTTGCTCTACTGCTGTTTTGCCTTTGCTAGTATTAAACATCATGTTACTTTTCAAAATGTTAATTACATATATGTAGGTTAACGGGACCTGGTCATCATTGACCAGGCCAGGTTTTGTTGCATAAACTTCATTGTTCTTAAAAAGCTGGTGGTAAGTTAGAATGGGCTCGCTCTATAAAATGTTTTGGAAAGCATGGCCATCATCCTTTGCTTCACTTTCCAGGTACATAATCCAGCAAGGTCCTGTTTTGTTAGTGCGGACTTCATCCTGCATCACACTGCAGTAACTACAGTTAATGTTGAGATCACTCTGATGATTTGTTATATATGTAATGGTGCACAGTCTTCATTGTTGGCAAACAAAGGAATAAGTAAAATGTCTAACCACTTGAAGCCTAATAATTTGACCTATTTGGAATGGCTCAGAAGCTTTTGCATTCCACTACTGAACATAAAATGTAGCTGTTGGTTGGTTCGCCTAGCTGAATGGTTTTCGTGCAAACATTTTGTCCCCCTTCCGGATGATGCCTTCAGTGCTGTCTAGCCTCCGTTGAAATGCTGTTGTTCTGTTCCGTTCTGAATTTATATGGTCTGGTCCTTACGGTGGTTAATTCTGTTTCCGGTTTGTAGACGATGCTTATCATCATTCACGCTCAGATCTTTTTGTGTTTGGTCACTCTCACTCAATATTTCTTTTTGTTGTTGGGGTGGGTGGGGGAAAGCAGGTTCAGTTAGCTCAGTTGGTAACAGTGTGACGCAGAATGATAGCAACAGAATGAGGTTGATTCCTATACCTGTCTGAGTAAGTGTGTAGTTTGAGGAACTTTGGATCTGAGTTGAGGAGCTGTAGTCTGAGCTACGGACATTGTATCACAACAAGGATGGTGAGAGTTACCTGGACACTTTGCTCAAGAGGACAATCGCACACTTCAGATGAAGCAATTCAAAAATTACCCAGTGATCAGGGACAGGAGGATGCAACTGCTGATGAGGCAGGCATAAAACCCCAGGGGGTTTTAAAATTGAGGAGCCTTTGCCGCTGCAATTGTCAAAGAGTCATGAGGTTCTTGCAAGCTGTACAGATGGAATGGGGAACTGCAGGGAGGATGAAAAAACTGACCATGGCACGTTGGTACAGGAAGCCATTAAAGACAGGGGAAGGAAATAGGAATGTATTGTACTAAAGGACAGTGTAATTAGGGGGACAGATACTGTCCTCTGCAGCCATGAGCAGAAGGCCCGAAGGGTGTGTTGACTGCTCTGTGCCAAAGTTGAGGAATCTTCTCAGAACTGAAGAACTTGAGAGTGAGGGGAGGGATTCAGTAGTCATCATCAATTGTAGGACTAGGTACAAGATTTTGCAAAAAGATTCAGTTACGAGCTAAATTAGAAAGCACAATCTCTGGATTACTTACCAGTGCCATGAGCCACCCTGCAGAGAGTAAACAAAGGCAAGATGTTTAATGCATGACTCAGAGATTGGTTTGCGTGGAATGGCTTTGCACCCTTGGGTTATTGACGCCAGTACAAGGTAGAAGGGAGCTGTTCAGTTGGGATGGGCTTCACTTGAACTAGTGTTCTGGCAAATCGAATAATTAGAGCTGTAGAGAGGGTCTTAAACTAATGGGTGCAGGTGGGGCATACGGCAGAATTACTAGGCAGCTATTTGTATAACGATATCCAGAGTGGCACAGGAAAGGACAGAGTATACAAACACAAAAAAAACTGTAGTAAATGGGGTGAAAAGGGGAAATGATGGTAAAAAGGCAAAACTGATGCCTTGTTATTTTAAAGTACGTAGTATTCAAAACAAAATGGATGACTTAATCACGCAAATAAGGGTCTATTTCCATGCTGTATGACTCTATGACTACAAATAAAAGGCAATGGGTATGATTTTCTGGCCATTACAGAGACATTATTACAAGGAGATCAAAGCTGGTTTCTAAACATTCAGGAGTATGTGACTTTCTGAAAGGACAGGCAAGAAGGAAAGGATGGTGGGGTTGCAATGTTCTAGCTGGATGAATTAAGTACAACAGCAAGAGATGATGTTCAATCAGAAGATGTAGAATCCATATTGGTGGAGGTAAGAAATAAAAATGACGCTGGTAGGAATAGTCTGTAGGTTCCCCTAACAGTAACTGCACAGTGATACAGAGAATAAATCAGGAGATTTATTGCCAGTCTCCCGCCAATTCCATTCATTCCACATAATATAAAGAAATGTTGGAGACACTTGGATACTGCAAAGGCTACGGCCCTGACAACATTCCAGCAATTGTACTGAAGACTTGTACTCCAGAACTTGCTGCTCCCTGAGCCGAGATCTTCCAGCACAATTATAACACTGGCATCTACCTGACAATGTGGAAAATTGCCCAGGTATGTTCCTTACACAAAAAACAGGACAAATCCAACCCAGCCAATTACCGCCCCCATCAGCCTATTCTCAATCATCAGTAAAGTGATGGAAGGTGTCATCAACAGTGCTATCAAGCAGCACCTGCTCTGCAATAACCTGCTCAGTGACACCCAGTTTGGGGTTCCACTAGGGCCGCTCAGCTCCTGACCCCATTATGACATTGGTTCAAACATAGACAAAGCAGCTGAATTCCAGAGGTGAGGTGAGACTGACAGCCCTTCATATGAAGGCTGCATTCAAATGAGTGTGGCATCAAGGAGTCCTTGCAAAACTGAAATCAATGGGAACTCGGGGTGAAATTCTCTGCTGGTTGGAGTCATACCCGGGATATAGGAAGGTGATTGTAGTTGTTGGAGGTCAGGATATCTCTGCAAGAGTTCCTCAGGGTAGTATCCAAGGACCAAGCATCTTCAGCTGCTTCATCAATGACCTTCCCTCCATCATAAGATCAGAAGTGAAGATGTTCACTGATTGCACAATGTTCAGCACCATTCGTGACTCCTCAGATATTGAACCAGTCCATGTTCAAAAGCAACAAGATCTGGACAACA